TGTTGGTATTGTAATACAGATATTAACAGAAGTCCATGAAGTCTTTTTTCCACTTTGTGTTTATAACTGATGAATTTAGATAAGTTTATGAAATACTGTTTGTGTTTGTAATGTGAGGGATGTTGTTATTGTAATACAGATGTTAACAGAAGTCCATGAAGTCTTTTTTCCACTTTGTGTTTATAACTGATGAATTTAGATAAGTTTATGAAATACTATTTGTGTTTGTAATGTGAGGAATGTTGTTATTGTAATACAGATGTTAACAGAAGTCCATGAAGTCTTTTTTTCCACTTTGTGTTTATAAATGATGAATTTAGATAAGTTTATGAAAATACTATTTGTGTTTGTAATGTGAGGAATGTTGTTATTGTAATACAGATGTTAACAGAAGTCCATGAAGTCTTTATTTCCACTATGTGAATTGTAACAATTTGGACAATTTATATAGTAGAATTTTATGTAAAATATATAATTGACTTATTTTTATACATAGTTTGTGGGAAATAATAGAAATAAAATTGTTTAATATCTACACTCACATTACTATTTATAACATAATCTGTTCTGTAATATATTTTATTTTTACAGATGGATTGTGGTCTTGTTGAGTGAGTGTTAGGTGAATGTCTTGATGCCAAGAAAACTTTTGATGAAGCTCTGCAATATGGCAGAGATGGAGGACGAGATAATAAAACAGACATTTATGGTGAAGCGTTCCCAAAATAAAAAACTTCTGGGTCCTATTAACTTCAAATCTCGCTGGTTCGTCCTAACAGCAAAAACTCTATATTATTATGATGGAAATCCAGAAGTAAGTGTTGAGACAACTCTTATTTATATGAGTAGCCATGATACATATATGTAAATTATAAATCTTTCTGTTGCATCTTATGTAGTAGCTGGTATGTTCGTGTAGGTCTTATGTTTATTTGTACCTTTGAATCTCAATCATGAACAGCTGAGTGGTAACATAATTTGATATTTAGTTTTAATAAAGATTTCTCTTCATGTGATTAATTTTAATTTAACAGGACTCTTACAGTTAAAACATGAGCTGGGGCTATCTGTACATTGAATTATATTATTATTTCATATCAAACATATCTGTACATTGAATTATATAATTATTTCATATCAAACATATCTGTACATTGAATTATATAATTATTTCATATCAAACATATCTGTACATTGAATTATATAATTATTTCATATCAAACATATCTGTACATTGAATTATATAATTATTTCATATCAAACATATCTGTACATTGAATTATATAATTATTTCATATCAAACATATCTGTACATTGAATTATATAATTATTTCATATCAAACAGTCTTTATTTTCTCTCTTATAATCAGTGCACATGTCAAGGCTAACATATATTAATACTGTTGTATATGTTCTTTAACACTTGATCATCCCATATCTAGTCCTTATTACACAGCTGTGTTTTATGTTCTTTAACACTTGATCATCCTATATCTAGTCTTATTACACAACTGTGTTTTATGTTCTTTAACACTTGATCATCTTATATCTAGTCTTTATTACACAGCTGCGTTTTATGTTCTTTAACACTTGATCATCTTATATCTAGTCTTTATTACACAGCTGTGTTTTATGTTCTTTAACACTTGATCATCTTATATCTAGTCTTTATTACACAGCTGTGTTTTATGTTCTTTAACACTTGATCATCTTATATCTAGTTCTTTATTACACAGCTGTGTTTTATGTTCTTTAACACTTGATCATCTTATATCTAGTCTTTATTACACAGCTGTGTTTTATGTTCTTTAACACTTGATCATCTTATATCTAGTCTTTATTACACAGCTGTGTTTTATGTTCTTTAACACTTGATCATCCTATATCTAGTCTGACTTTATTGATTCCAAACATAATGTTAGTCAGACTTTATTGATTCCAAGCATAGTGTTAGTTAGACTTTATTCATTCCAAATATAATGTTAGTCAGACTTTATTGATTCCAAACATAGTGTTAGTTAGACTTTATTCATTCCAAACATAGTGTTAGTTAGACTTTATTCATTCCAAACATAATGTTAGTCAGACTTTATTCATTCCAAACATAGTGTTAGTTCAGACTTTATTCATTCCAAACATAGTGTTAGTCAGACTTTATTCATTCCAAACATAGTGTTAGTCAGACTTTATTCATTCCAAGCATAGTGTTAGTCAAACTTTATTCATTCCAAACGTAATGTTAGTTAGACTTTATTCATTCCAAACATTGTGTTAGTTAGACTTTATTCATTCCAAACATTGTGTTAGTTAGACTTTATTCATTCCAAACATTATGTTAGTTAGACTTTATTCATTCCAAAGTAGTGTTAGTCAAACTTTATTCATTCCAAACGTAATGTTAGTTAGACTTTATTCATTCCAAACATTGTGTTAGTTAGACTTTATTCATTCTAAACGTAATGTTAGTTAGACTTTATTCATTCCAAGCATAGTGTTAGTCAGACTTTATTCATTCTAAACGTAATGTTAGTTAGACTTTATTCATTCCAAACATAATGTTAGTCAAACTTTATTCATTCCAAACGTAATGTTAGTTAGACTTTATTCATTCCAAACATTGTGTTAGTTAGACTTTATTCATTCCAAACATTGTGTTAGTTAGACTTTATTCATTCCAAGCATAGTGTTAGTCAGACTTTATTCATTCCAAACATAGTGTTAGTTAGACTTTCTTACTTCTGTAAGGAGGAGAAGTATAAGAATGATTGTGGTTTATCCAAGCCAATATTTTACCATTATGACTTCATCGAGGCTATAAGGACTAGAAGTATAAGATTGGTTGTGGTTTATCCAAACGAATATTTTAACATTATGACTTTATCGAGGCTGTAAGGACTAGAAGCATAAGAATGATTGTGGTTTATCCAAGCCAATATTTTACCATTATGACTTCATCGAGGCTGTAAGGACAAGAAGTATAAGATTGGTTGTGGTTTATCCAAACGAATATTTTACCATTATGACTTCATCGAGGCTGTAAGGACTAGAAGCATAAGAATGATTGTGGTTTATCCAAGCCAATATTTTACCATTATGGCTTCATCAAGGTTGTAAGGACTAGAAGCATAAGAATGATTGTGGTTTATCCAAGCCAATATTTTACCATTATGGCTTCATCAAGGTTGTAAGGATTAGAAGCTTAAGAATGATTGTGGTTTATCCAAGCCAATATTTTACCATTATGAATTCATCCAGGCTGTAAGGACTAGAATCATAAGAATGATTGTGGTTTATCCAAGCCAATATTTTACCATTATGGCTTCATCGAGGCTGTAAGGACTATGTATAGCATAAAGACACGTGAAACTGATTAAGTAAACAAAGTAGAACACGTGTAGCTAACTTGTGTCAGTTTCCTCTAATGTAATGAAAAATATTTTTAAATATAAACGTGTCCCATTTTTTCTGGTGTAAGGTGGGTTTCTTTTTCCCATAAAATATTCACAAGTAATTATTGTAACAGTCATATATCTTATTACAATTAATGTTATCAATTAAAATGGATTTCTAAAAGTACTTTGTGTTATATATATGTTATTTATTATGTAATTTTTTTTCCATACAGAAAAGAGGTAAAGAAAAAGGCAGAGTGGATTTGAAAACAATAAAATATGTGGAATGCCTGAATGATGATGCTCTTGGCAGAAAGTTTACTTTTCAGGTAAATTTTAAATGAATTGATTGGTTTTGATGCAGCATGAGGATGTAGTTGAAACAAGAAATGGTTCTGTTATAAAAGATGCACGTGTGGATGTAGTTGAAACGTGAAATGGTTCTGTTATAAAAGATGCACGTGTGGATGTAGTTGAAACGTGAAATGGTTCTGTTATAAAAGATGTACGTGTGGATGTAGTTGAAACGTGAAATGGTTCTGTTATAAAA